GCCAACACAAACATACCAAATAATTTAACAAAAAATATTTAGTAATTATTTTCACTTAGGTTGTATATCAATTTTTTTTTTTAAATTCTAACGTATTTTTCCCAGTCAAATCTCTTGAGGGTATAATTTACATACAGTAAAGTTCACCCTTTGTAGTATATAGTGTTAAAAAACAGAATTCAACTGAGTAAATTTTAAAGATCTTATTGACTTTATTCAGTGATTCATGAATTGGGCAACATCCAGTCTAGCAGATGGAAAGGAGCTCTGAGGAGCTGTACAAAATGAAAGACTGTTATAGGCAGAAGGGGGCGGGAACAGGAAGTTATACTAGCCAAAAACGCTGATTGTAATGGGGGTCTATGAGGCCGCTTGTCTTTTTCTGCTTTCTTAAGGTGGAAGTTTAGATAGTTCTCCTTATTTAATATAAACATACATATGTAATCAATTGGTTTTCAACACAGTACAAAGGGAATTCCATAGAGAATATAAACGTTTGATTACATAATTATATAAATTTCCCAAGAACTTCTTTAGCTCCGTTTCACAAATTTTGGTGCTGTGTTTTCACTGTTATTCAATCAAAATATTTTCTAATTTCCCTTGTGACTTACTCTTTGACCTACAGGTTATTTAGAGGTGTTTTGTTTAATTTCTACACATTTGGGCATTTTCCAGATGTTTTTCTGTTGTTGATTTCTAGTTAATTTCATTGTGATAAGAGAACATATTTTATATAAACTTCAATTGGGTTTTTTTTTTTTTAATTTGTTGAGGTTGGTTTTATGGCTCAGGATATTGTCTGTCTTGGAGAATGTTCCATATGTACTCGAAGAGAACATATTGCTCTGGTTGAGTGGAGTGTTCTATAAATGTCAGTTTGGCTGATAATCTTCTATCAGCCAGGTGTTCTATATGTTTACTGACTTTTTTGTCTACTTGTTCTATCAATTACAGAGAGAGAAGTATTGAAGTCCTCAATTGTAATTGTGGATTTGTCTATTTCTCTTTTTAGTTCAATAGTTTTGCCTCATTTATTTTAACACCCTGTTCTTAAGTGCATAAACATTTAGGATTATTGTGTGTTTTTAGAAAATTGATACCTTTATTGTCCTGTAATATCCTTTTTTAGACCTGGCAATTTTCTTTGCTTTGAACGCTATTTTGATAATAATGTAGCCGCTCCAGCTTTCTTTTGATTAGTGTTTGCATGGTTTGTTTGGTTTTTTTTCTGGTCTTCTACTTTTGACTATCAATATGTTTATGTTTAAAGTGGATTTTTTTGTGTCTTGTATCTTTCACTCCATGTTTTTCTTATCTCTGAGATTTCCAATTGACTCTTTAAAAATGGCTTTATTAAGATCTGTCTCACATACTATACAATTCATTCATTTGAGCTATACAATTCAGTGGCTTTTAGTATATCACGGAGTTGAGCAACCAACACAACAATCAACTTCTGAACATTTTAATCATCTCAGAAAGAAACCCCATACCCATTAGCAGTCAATCTCTATTTCCCCCCAAACATCACCCTCCCTTGCTTCCTGTCTCTATAGATTTGCCTATTTTGGACATTCCATATAAACAGAATCATATAATATCTAGTCATTTGTGACTGGCTTCTTCCACTTAGCATAATTTTTTCAAGCATGTTGAAATGTTTATCATTACTTAATTCTTTTTTATAACTAAGTAACATTCCGTTGTATAGCTATGCATTTTATTTATCCATCAATTGATAGACAGTTGGATTATTTCCACTTTTTTGGCTATTATGAATAATGCTGCTATGAACATTCATGTACAAGTTTTTGTGTGCATATATGTTTTCAGGTCTCTTGACTGTCTATCTAGAAGTGGAATTCCTGGGTTACATGAAACTCTTTAACCTTTAACCTATATCCTTAACCTTTTGAGGAACTGCCAAATTGTTTTCAAAAGTAACCATACATTTTTACCCCCCACCAGCAATATGAGGGTGCCAATTTCTCTACATCCTAACAAAACTTGTTTTTTGCCCTCCTTTTTGGTAATAGTCATCCTAGCGGGTGTGAGGTGGTATCTCTTTGTGGTTTTGATTTGCATTTCCCTGATGGCTAGTGATGTTGAGCATCTTTTCATATACCTCTTGGCCATCTGTATGTCTTCTTTGGAAAAATGTCTCTTCAGATCCTCCGCCCATTTTTTAAATCAGATTGTTTGTTTTTTTGCTACTGAGTTGTATACATTCTTTATATATTTTAGATAGTAACCACTTAGCAGATATATGATTTGCAGATATTTTCTTCCATTTAGCAGGTTGCCTTTTCATTTTGTTGATGGTTTCCTTTGCTGTGCAGAAGCTTTTTAGTTTGATGTAGTCCCTCCCACTTGTTTATTTTTTATTTTGTTGCTTTTTCTTTTGCTGTCAACTTAAAAAAGTCATTGCCCAGACTGATGTCAAGGAGCTTATTGCCTGTTTTCTTATAGAGTTTTTATGGTTTCAGGTCTTACATTCAAGTCTTTAATCTATTTTGAGTTAATTTTTATGTATAGTCTAAGACAGCGGTCCATTCTCATTCTTTTGCATGTGGCTGTCCAATTTTCCCACCACTTATTGAAGAGACTGTTCTTTCTCTATTGTATTTTCTTGACTCCTTTGTTCTAAATTAATTGACCATATATATGTGGGTTTATTTCTGGGCTCTCTATTCTGTTCCATTGATCTGTGTATCTGTTTTTATACCAATACCATACTCTTTTGATTACTATAGATTTGTAATACAGGTTGAAATTAGGGAGCGTAATGCCTCCAGCTTTGTTGTTCTTTCTCAAGATTGCTGTGGCTATTTGGGGTCTTTGGGGGTCCCATACAAATTTTAGGATTGTTTGTTCTATTTCTGTCAAAAATGCCATTGGAATTTTGATAGGGATTGCATTGAATCTGTAGATTGCTGTGGGTAGTGTGGGCATTTTAACAATATTATGCAGATATATAGAGAACATTCCATCCAAAAGCAACAGAATACACATTCTTCTTGAGTGCACATGGAACATTTGCTAGGATAGATTATATGTTAGGCCACAAAACAAGTCTTAAAAATTTAGAAAAATTGAAATCATATCAAGCATCTTGTCCCATCACAATAGTATGAAAGTAGAAATCAATTACAGGAAGAAAACTGGAAAATTCAGTAATTTGTGGAGAATAAATAACATGCTCCTGAACAACCAGTGGGTCAAAGAAGAAATCAAAAGAGAAATTTAAAAAATACCTTGAAATAAATGAAAATGGAAATACAACATATCAAAAGTTATGGGATACAGCAAAAGCAGTTCTAAGAGAAAAGTTCATAGTAATAAATGCATACATCAAGAAACAAGAAAAATCTTAAAAAACCTAACTTCACACCTCAAGGAACTAGAAAAAGAAGAACAAAAGAAGCCCAAAGTTACTAAGAGGAAAGAAATTACAAAGATCAGAGTGGAAATAAGTGAATTAGAGACTAAAAAGATGATAGAAAAGATCATTGAAACTAAGAGCTGGTTATTTGAAAAGATAAACAAAATTGACAAACCTATAGCTAGATTAACCAAGGAAAACAGAGAGAGGACTCAGATAAAATCAGAAAGGAAAGAGGAGACATTACAACTCATACCACAGAAATACAAAAGATCATAAGAGACTACTGTGAACAATTGTATGCCAACAAATTCAACAGCCTAGAAGAAATGAATAAATTTCTAGAAACATACAACCTACCAAGACTGAATCATGAAGAAATAGAAAATCTGAACAGACTAAGTATTAATAAGAAGATTGAATTAATAATCAAAAACCTCCCAACAAAAAAAACGTCCAGGACCAGACAGCTTCACTGGTGAATTCTACCAAACATTCAAAAAAGAATCGATACCAGTCTTTCTCAAACTCTTCTAAAAAGAATAGGAGGGAATGGTTCCAAATTAATTTTACGAGGCCAGCATTACCCTGATTCCAAAACCAGATAAGGACGCCACAAGAAAATAAAATTACAGGCCAATATCCCTACATACATTCAAAATGCTCAACAAAATATTAGCAAATCTAATTCAACAAAACATTAAAAGGATCATACACCATGATTAAGTGGGATTTATTCCAGGGATGCAAGGATAGTTCAACATCCACAAATCAATCAGTGTATCAGTGTGATATACCACATTAACAAAATGAAGAATAAAAATCATATGATCATTTCAATAGATGCAGGAAAAGCACTTGTCAAATTCAGCATCCATTTTTGATAAAAACTCTCAACAAAGTAAGTATAGAGGGAATGTACCTCAACATAATAAAGGCCATATATACAAACCCACAGCTAACATCATTCTCAATGGTAATAAGCTGAAAGCTTTTCCACTAAAATTAGGAAAAACACAGGGAGACCCACTCTTGCCACTTGTATTCAACATAGTATTGGCTGTCCTAGCCAGAGTAATTAGACAAGGAAAAGAAATAAAAGGTATGCAAATTGGAAAGAAAGAGTAAAACTATCACTATTTGAAAAGAATATTTTTTAAAAGCTTTAAGAAAGTAGGAGGCTGGCCCTGTGGCCGAGTGGTTGAGTTTGCACTCTCTGCTTTGGTGGCCCAGTGTTTCACCAGTTCGGATCCTGGGCACAGACGTGGCACTGTTCATCAAGCCATGCTGAGGCGGCATCCTGCATGCCACAGCTAGAAGGACCCACAACTAAAAATATACAACTATGTACTGGGGGGCTTTGGGGAGAAAAAGGAAAAATAAAATCTTAAAAAAAAAGAGAGAGAAAGATCTCAAGTACTGTTATTTTCCAGTGAAAACATCTAGAAATGCCATAATCAATCTATAATGACATAAATATCTAATTGAAATTGAAATCTAGCAGTTTTGATTTGGGGGCTTTTCACCTATACATTTGGCTACACCCCTTTATTTCATCAAGTAAATCTTAGGTAATTAGTAAAAATTAATATTTGATTTTCTTTTCCACTTTTAGTGTTAAATGTTTACAAAAGACAGTGAAGGATTCTTATCATATAATGTGTAGACCATGTGCCTGTGAACTTGATGTTTGCGCAAAATGTGGAAAGAAAGAAGACATTGTTATTCCGTGAGTATTTCTTTTTACATTTGAGTTTTATTCTTTTAGTAATTGATATGTGAATTTTCTTTTAAGGAAACATTCAGTAGCTCAGAGAATCTCAGAATTAAAGTATATCACACTAATGTAGACTTTTTTCCTACCTAACAGGAAAAATGTCTTAATTGTTTGTAAAATTTTTCTATCATTACAATAAAAGTGAAATTTTATAGTTTTAGGAAATTAAAATGTTTATCCATAAGATTCACATTCACTACTCATTACAAAAGAATTGCTCGTTATATAACTACTTTTCTTTAATGGACATCATGTATTAATGCTTTTGAACCTAATTTGTTGACAGCAGTATTATAATTGGTTGGATCTTGCGTTAAGTTAGTCTTCAAGGAGCTTTTTCTCTATACTTATTTCATTAGACTCTTGTTAACCAAGAAAAGTAGTGTAAAGGTCTTTTCAATCTACACAGTTAAATAACGAAAGCCTAAGAAATAAATAGAAGTTTTTTCTTCCACCTGTAGGTTTAACAAAGAAACAGAAAAGACAGAAAATTTTGAAAATAATCTATGTTCTAACCATCAAAGAAGCTGCAGAAGAAATGAAGAAAGTGATGATGATTTAGATTTCGATATTGATTTAGATGACGCAGAAGATGGCGATCAAGCGGATTAACATAACTATACTAAAGTCAGTTTGAAAACATGAAATTCTGAACAACTTTGGACTTTGAGGGTTTTACAAAAAAGTACTGTGAAATCCTAATGAGGAAATCATAAAAACCTGTAGAAAATAGGCAAAATTTATACAGGGACAATATAAATTATGTATGATATTTGAATAATTATAAAGCTTTTACCCAGAGTTTTCCTATAATAAATTTTAAAGTAGCGTATGCTAGAATATCTGCCAAAATTAGTATGGGTTTAGCATTTTGCAGTTCGTGGAAATTATTTAGAATTTACATATACTACCTATATCAAACTAAGTAAGATTCAGAATTGATGATTGTGTAAGAACTATCTCATGGAAAAATCAGATGACATTATTATATTGCTAGCCTCAAAAACTGGTCCTCAGTAACTACCTTTTGATAAATTGATCTCGAGTAAATGGCCCACATAAGAAAAGCCCGCCTACTTATGTTTGCTTGTTATAAAGCGAAAAGTTTATTATAATATTTAACAACTGTATAGCAATTTTTCATTGAAAGTATTTTTTTATATCTTATGACATTTTTTACCTTTTTTGTCTTGTGAAATATACATACAGAAAAAATGCATAAAATATATATGTATATTTAATAAATTATTTAAAAAGTCATACATCTATCACCTAGATGAAGAAACTATTCCTAAACGCTATAAATTAGCTTTGTCTTATTTTTGAACTCTTTTCTCTTTTTCTTTTAATCTCAAACCTAAAGAAAAGTACCAAATAGTACAATGAATCTTTGTATACTCTTCACCTAGGTTGATGATTGTTAACATTTTGCCACGTTTTCTTTATATCACAGTAGATGGGTCTAGATATATATTTTATTTACTGAACCATTTGAAAATAAGTAGCTGGCATTGGTTTTTAATTTTATATGAACAGACCTATACTATGCATGTTATTTTCTCTCTTCTTTATTTCATTATTATGAAATTTGTGAAATTGATCCATGTTGTTGCAAGAGCTCTAATTTGTTCATTTTACATTACTGTGTTTTATTCCATTGTATTTACATACTAATTACATACATTAGAGAGGATAAGTTGACTTATCCTCTCTAATGTTAAGGGACGATTGAGTTATCTCAAATTTTCTTGTTACAACCAATAGTGCTATGCACATTGGTATATCTGTTTCTTGGTACACATATCTTATTTCTTGGTACACATTTCTGTTAGATGTATGTCCAGCAGTGGTAGAGGACATCAGGTATATGCATCTGCAGTATTACTCTATAATGCCCAACTATCTTTCCAGAAAGATTGTTCTCTCCCTTCCCCACAGCAATATATATATATGAGAATTCCAGTGCTCTGCATCCTTTCCAACACTTCATATCAGACTTTTTAATTTCTGTCAATTTTATATGTATGCTACATATATCTTTGTCTTATTAATTTGTATTTCCCTAATTACTAATAGGCTTAAGCCCCTTTTAATGTTTATTGACCATGTGGTTTTTGGATAATAGAAGATATTAATGAATTGTTTTGGTGAAGTTTAATAATGTTACTTAAGAAATGCATACTGAAATATTTGAGTGTAATAGCAATTTAAGATATTTCAGCATAAAAAAGTAAAGACACAGATAGCATTTTAGTGGCACCAAAAATAAGTTACCTAGGAGTAAATTTAAAAAATACTCAAGAACTTTATACACAAAAATATAGAATCTTATCAAGATCCAAAGTGGAGACATAAATAGAGAAAGATAAAAATAAATGGGGAGAGATACTGTGTTTGTGATGTGGAAGTCTCAATATTCTAAGCTTACAGACTTACAGAAAGTTTCTCTCCCATAAATTTATGTGGCTTTCCTTTTTGCATATAAGTTTATTTTCTAGACTATAACTTTTGCAGTTGAAGAGCCAACTAAATTATTATTAGACCTACCATAAATTCTTTGCCATTTGAATGAGTTATAAGTCCTCAGATAACCTTACCAGAAGAGAGATTTAACAAAGAGCATCACCTAGTGACATATACTAATATCTGCATTTCGTCCTTTAGTGCTAAGACACGTTGTTTTGTTTTGTTTTTTAAGAAGACTTAAATTTAATTGTTATGTTTAGTTCATTTATATTTCTTTAGGAATTATCCTTTCTAATCTAAAAATTACTTTTTTATTGGAGCTCAGCATGGATCTAAATCCTGGCTCTGTCACTTACTAGCTGTATGACTTGGTACAATTTAACTTTCTGTGCTTTGGTTTTCATGAGATTGATAGAAGGATTAAATGCATTAATACGTAAAATGCTTAGAACTTATGAGAGCACCACAGAACTGATATTATTATTGCTCCTATGTGATTATATATATATAAATTAATTAGTCATTATTAATTAGTAATGAAGACATGAATTTGTTTGCCTACATTCTGAAAAAGAAGACTTATATATGGATTTCATATATATATGGAATATATATAGAATCCTGTTACTTGCTCATGCTGTCTGGTTCCAGAGTCTGATTTTTAACTACTGCACAATAGTGCTGCCACTCTGTCATATGTCAAAAGCATTTCTATAGGTAAATAGAGAAAAAACTTTATTAGATGGGGGACATGGCATGAACAAGTTATTGGTGACTAAAAAGGCTTGGAATAATAATGGAAATAATATAGTAATAGCTAACATTCTTATTTCATTTGTTCAACGAATAATCATTGAGCACCTATGTGGGCAAGGCACTGTTCAAGATACTTGGGGTACAACAATGAAGAAAGCAGAGATCCATATCCTTTCAGAGATTACCTTTTAGTGGGTAGAGACAGACCATAAGCAATAAACACAGTAACTAAATTATGTGTTAGAAAGTAAAAAGTGCTATGGGAAAAAATAAGGCATTGTAGGATAATTGGGAGTCTGAGGGCATGGATGGAGTGGGGATGAGCGTGTACACGTGGGTAGGAAGTGGGCTATGATTTTTTAATAAGGTGTCCAGGGGGACATGTTGGGGAAGAATGTTCCAGGCAGAGGCAAAAAGGCACAGCAAGGCCTCTAAAGCAAGATTGTGCCAGGTGTGTTCAAGAACAGCAAGGAAAGCAGCAGTTAAGTTGGAGAGTCCTAAGAGAGAAGATCAGGGAAGTAATGGAAGGCCAGCTCATGTGAAACCTGCTTTTAAGATGTTTTTACTTTATCTTTGGTTTTCAGCCACTTGACTATGATTTCTAAGGTGTGAATATCTTATTTATGCTATTTAAGATTTTCTCAGTTCCTCCAATCTGTTGGTCCATGTCCTTAAACAGATTTGGAAAAATGTTCAGCATTGTTTCTTCAAATAGTGCTTTTCCTATTCTCTCCTCTCCTTCCAGCTCTCCAGTTACACGTTAGACCCTTTTGACTGTGTCCCGTGTCTTTCTCCTGCTCTGCTGTCTTTTTTCCATTCATTTTTTCCTTTCTGTGCTTCATTTTGTGTGTTTTCTATTGGCCTTTCTTGGCATTTGTTAATTCTGTCTTCTGAATAAATAGGATTAATGTGTTCAGTCTGCTTTTAAACCCATCTAATAAATTCTTAATTTCTCATACTAAATTTTGCAGTTCTAAAATGTCCATTTGATTCTTTTTTAATAGATTATAGTTCTGTTGAAATATTCCATGTTACCTATCTTATGTGTCTTTTTCTCTATTTTCTTAGACATTTTAATCACAGTTATTTTGAAGTCCTTGTTCACTTTTGTTTGCTTTTATTGATTATTTCCTGATTATGGGTCATTTTCCCCTGCTTTGCACATCTAATTTTTATTGTATGCTAGAAATTGTGGATGACACATTATAGAGGCTTCCTCTAAAAACTAAATTTGTGCAGGTCACCTTGATTCTGTCAAATCTTAGTTTTAGGCTTTGTTGGGGTGATCTATTTCAGTTTCACATTTATTTCTAGAATTCCCTATCCCTGTCTCTTAGTCTTCAAGTATTGTCTTTATTCCTAGATGTGTATTTTCTGGGGTCTTAACTTGTTGCCAAGAGTGTTCACCCAGGTATCTCCACTCTGGGTGAGCCCATCCTCCTGCACTGTGTGACCTCTGAGGTCTGACTAGCTCCCAGCCGCTCGGCTGCTGTTCTCTGCTAGGACTCCTGGGGTTGTGCCCTGTGTGTGCAGCTTAGGAGACTAAGGAGTGACAGAGAAGTAGGAGGAGAACCAAGAAAGGGTGTCCTGGAAGGCAAGGGGCGCATGTATTGAGTGCTCACTGTATCCTGGCCCAGCTCTAAACTAAGGTCTTTTGCGATAAGCACGTTTGAATGTTCATTCTGGCCCTGTGTAGTGACAACTATCATGATCCATGTTTACAGATGAGAAAGCGAGATGAAGTAATTTGGCATACAGCCAAAAAGTGTCAGGCCCAGGTTTTGAACCTATATAAGCATCTGATCCCAGAACCTCTTCTGCACGTTAGAGTTAGTATGCATAAGAATAATATGTGAGTCGCTGACTGATAACGCCACTATATTCCATACTCACAGTCAGTCCCTCTGCCATGCTTTCATATTGCCTTATTTCAGACAATTTAGAGCTTGTTCTGTTTTTTTTCTGAAGAACTTTTGGGTTCCAGCATCACTGGAGAGTGCTTAGGCTTTTAGCCACTGCTTATGCACCTGAATTGAATGACTTTTTCTTACTCACCCTGTGACTCTTTATTTCCACATATGAATCATAATACCGTAATCTTTCTAATTAGATGATGTCACTTTATTGTGAGAACTTGCATAATAGAAGGAGTATAGGTGTTTGCCAGCAATTCTGGATATATCTAGGAGCTGTACTGGGAAGGTAAGTTGTAGTGATTAACTCCTAATACAGTAATAATATTAGAAGAAGAAAAAGAAAGGTGTTACTTGGTTCTTAACATACATTTGTTACTCAGGTAGCATAAAGAGCGCTGCTCTGAGTCAGTATTCTCCATCTTTCAGGTGAGTCAGCTGAGGCTCAAAGGTTGAGTCACTTGCCAAAGTCCGAAAAGACAGTAATACATCTGAGATTCAAACCAAGTCTATATGGCTCCAAAGCCTATCTTATTGCAACTACATTTATGCAAAATTACAAATGGTCCAGGTTCCTAAGCACTTTTTTTCTTGTGTTATTTGTAACAGCATTAACATGAACACACCTCTATCCCTTCCTTAGCTTCCTCTTTCTAGGGAACATTGTAACATTAGTAACATTAGTCAATATTACTCAATGATTGCCCTGTTCAAAAGCCACATTTAAAAGAAAAAAAGATTATAGATAGCCTCTATATGACTTGTGCCATGGAATATTTGTCACTCATTACGTTCAAATTTGTCAGTAATACTGAATGTTGCAAGACCATTTTCCACAATTTTTATTGGCAATCCTTATGCAATCAGGGAAGTATGCTGAGATTACTTACGTAGCTCTATGCTAATGAGTCTCACAACTTCATCAATAATTAATACATAGGGAAAAAATTATGCATCCCCAAATCTCATATATAAGACTTTTAAAAGAATTAAAAGCACCAGGCTTTCAAAAGGTTATCACTACATAAAATTACACATGAGGTTGCATCGTTTATTTCTATGTAATTTTAAAAATTAAAAATGTTGTGAGGCCGGCCCTGTGGCCCAGTGGTTAAGTTCAGCACACTCTCCTTCAGCAGCCCAGGTCCAGTTCCCAGGTCCAGACC